GGTCCTCCTGACTCCAGGGCTGGTGCTCTATCCACTATACTACCTAGCTGCCCCTTCTGACACTCAATCTTGATTCTCAAGCTTCATCATCATCATTACCACCACTACCACCACTACCACTACCACGTCCAACCTACTGGAATTTGAGGAGAAAGAAAGTGTGGAATAGTGGAAAGTGTACTTGTTCTTGGTTCAAAGACCACATGTAGTGCTTCTTACCTCTGTGGCCATAGGCAAATCACTTAACCTCCCTAGGCTTCAATTCACTCCCCGATAAAATGAAGGGTCTCTGAGGTTCCTTATTTATGATATGAGTCCACATTAAGTGAGCACAGCCAGGCTTCATGTCATAACTCAAAAAGCTGCAGAAGCAATACTCTTGGTCTTCCTAATGAATAACCCTCTGAGGGTTAGGTCCATTCTCCTTTTACAGCTCCCAACCCGTTGGGCATCTGGTGACTTTGGTGTTACAGTCAGAATGGCCAAATCACAGATTGAGTTATCAGTATGGATTTGGATGAAGGGGAATTAGCTGTGGTTAAATAAATCCATGCTTGGTTCTGGTTTAAGCACCTAACACTTATAAGGCAGCTAAAATAAGGCTGTGAATTGTTTCAGCTTAAAAAAAAAATCCCAAAGAAAGTTTTGGTGCAGATACAAATGCAAATCAAAGTAAGATATACATAGGGTGTTTGAGAGTTCAGGTAAAACAAGACTCTTTACTTGCTGGAAACCACAGAGTTCTAGGTCACTGAGAGGTGCCATTTTCATTACTCCCTTCATTACCATTCCATTACTGTGGTTGCACAAATATTTTCTACTTAAGTCTCAAAACACAGAACTCAAACCTCAACAAATACAAACCCGAAGAACATGTAACTCATCACCCCTATCCTCCCAAGGTCATCTGACAGCCAAGTGTTTTACACCAATCAACAAAAAGACCCACCTCTGCTTGAACACAAGTTAGAACACCTTCCTAGACCCAGCTTTTGGTGAGGTTTGCCAGAAAGAGAGTTTAAGTTTTGGGGGCCCACCACAGATACTTTTAAGACAGTCTGTGGATGATGAATGGACAGCCTTGAGTACCAGCCATGAGGGATGGGTTGGGTGTAACTGTAGGAGAGAGAAGGAAAGGAGTTTGTCACATTCAGGTACTGAAGTCTTCCTGAATTGTCTGGAAACCACAGCTAATGGCTCTTCACCATGGGAACATCTGGAATATAAGCACTTCTGTGCATATTAAAAACCCTATTTATAGTTTTCTTTAAATGCTGGGAAAGGCAATTATGTAAAGTACTGCTGTGTTATTAGGCTCTTCAAAAAAAAAATCTCCATGCTTGCAATTTCCTTTTCCAAAGCCTAAAAGTAATTCAGACTTTCCCTGATCCTGCCCTTGTCAATTTGGCAAGTACTGATTTACTTTTCTTAATTCAGAAAAAGCCCCAAGTTCAGGTCTGCTGGCTGGTTGGTGAAAACAAAATGATGTTCATCAAGCCACAAGGATCATGGTTCTGGCTAATGGCTGACACCAGGCCCCAAGAAGCCCAAAATGTTTTGGGGGCTCCCACAAGCATTTGGAAAATCCCACAGTAATACAACTAAGAATATTTAGACCATAGAAAGAGACTCCAGGCCCCAACATGGAATCATAGCTTTTTCATCTCCTCTCTAAGGAATAAATTGATGCCGAAGGCCATTCCAAGGGTGGTTAGCAACTACTAGAATTTTAAATATTTGCACTTCTTAAAATGCAAAGTTAAATTTGGCAGCAGCTCAATTTCGCAGCATTGTTCTCCTGGGCTATAATAAGGTATCATTTTTCTTTTCTTTTCTTTTTTTGGATATAGCCTAAAAGCTGGAGACAGCAATATCAAACAAACCAACGCTGAGGTGAAAAGCCACGGAGGACCTCATATTTCTTGTCTTCAGGGCCAGTCTGATGACCACTTTATTGCAGGTTCTTCCATATTTCTCCTAAGGGTAGATGAGAGGGCAGAAAGGCAGGAGAAATTCAAATGAAAGGAGTGGGGGATTGGGTCTCAGCTATGAGCTCAGATACCAAACATTTATTCTCAATCATTGTTCAGTTTTAGAAGACAGGATGGGTGGGGGGAAGTGAGGGGAAAGGTGTGGTTTTTTTTTCAATCTGTATCTCACTTTCATTGGCTATAACTTGGAGATTTTTCCAGGGTTGTGAATGTAGAGTTCTTTTCATTTCATAATGTTGCAGGTACTTGTTTTCAGTGTCTATACTAGGTATTAGCCTGGGAATTTCAGAGGATCTATGAATTTGAATGGGAAAAATTTGTGGAATTGTGGATACTGTGATGGACCTGGGGTCAAAAAGAGCTGAGTTCAAATCCTGCCTCAGACACTGACTAGCTATGAGATCCTGGACAAGTGTGATCTTGGGCAAATCTCTTAAATGCCCCCTGATTCAATTTCCTCATCTATAAAATGGGGATAATAATAGCAATTCTCTCCCAGGGTCGTTGAGAGGATAAAAATGGGATATTTGTAAAGTGCTTTGTAAACTTTAAAGCATTATATAAATCCTAGCTACTATTATTCCTTACATTATGAATGTAGGCAAAAAAAAAAAGATTCTGAGAATGGGTCCATAGCCTTTATCAGACTGCCAAAGGTGTCCATGACACAAAAAAGGTGAAGAACCTTGTATCTATACCAATTTCATTCTCACTGGATTTTTCCCTCCTACATAACAAGGTTTGGATTTTGCCAGATGCAGAATGTTAAATCTTTTTCTTTTTAAAGAAGTCCATTACCTGTGGTGACTATGAAGGAATTTTAAAACTGTATCACTGGAGGCCACATGATAGCATGGAAAGAGTTGAATGTCAAGAAGTCAAAGTCCTGGCTCCAACTAGATGTGTGACCTTAGATAATAATAATTTACATCTTTCTTTCTTTCTTTCTTTCTTTCTTTCTTTCTTTCTTTCTTTCTTTCTTTCTTTCTTTCTTTCTTTGTTCTTTCTTTCTTTCTTTCTTTCTTTCTCTTTCTTTCTTTCTTTCTTCCTTCCTTTTCTTTTTTCTTTTTCTTTCTTTTTTCTTTCTTTCTTTTTCTTCCTTCTTTTCCTTCCCTCCCTTCCTCCCTCCCTCCCTTCCTTCCTCCCTCCCTCCTTTCCTTCCTTCCTTTCTTCTTTCTTTCTTTCTTTCTTTCCTTCCTTCCTTTCTTCCTTCCTTCCTTCCTTCCTTGCAAATATTTTCCTCACAACCTGCAAAGTAGATAGCAAATCATTATTGCCATCTTGTAATTGAGAATACTGAGGCAGGTGAACTCACTTATTCCAAGTGGTTTAGCTAGTGTCAGAGCCAGGAGCTGAACCTAGATGTCTTGACTCTCAATCAAACCCCATCTCCATGATACCATGTTGTTATTTCGTGTCTTAACTTCCTTATCTGTAAAATTAAGGGCTGAACCCTAGATGATCTCCAAGACCCCTGTTTTTTACTCTAAGTATCTACTATCTGGACTTTATATTTGATTCATCTCCTGCCAGAGAAATAAATGCTATCCCAGGCTTCAGAGAGAGGGTAAAAAACAAGCAAGCTAAATAAATGTTCCCCCATCACATTGCCAAGTTGAGCAGAGAGCAGGGATTAGAACATTGAATTTCTGACTGGCTGGTCCAAGGAACTAGAGAGAGGGAATGAGCACTCACCTCAGGCCAAATGCCAGGTTCCATTTTTAAGGCTTAAGATAGCCCCTATTCAAAACGTCCCTTTTTTCTTTTTAAGACAACCAACAAAAACTTCTGATGTCACTTTTTTCTTTCTTTGTTCTTTTACACTTTAAATCGAAAATGTGCACCCCCACTTACCTGATATTTATGTTTCTTCCACCCCCACCTCCATTTTCTAAGATTGTTATTGTTTCCTTCTATTGGGTCCCCAAACATCATAAGCTTCAATTTTTTAAAATAAGAAAACTTTCAAAAAGTTAACATTAGATTGCTTGCCATTCAGTAACTGTCATTTAGTTTGGTCACCATCTTTTAAAATCATTTGACCCAAGTGCATGAGATGAAAACATCAGGGACCAAGGTCTTGCTTACCATTCTCACCATTATCATATGGTAGTCCCATGGCATAATAGGTAATGCCCTAAGAATCAGGAAGGCTTGAGTTTAATTCCTAGTTCTGACACATACTGGCTATGTGATCCTGGGCAAGTCACTTAAACTCTTGAAGCCCTGGGTACTCACCAATTAATCAATAAACATTTATTAAGTGCCTACTATGTACCAAATCAATAAACATTTATTAAGTGCCTAATAGGTGTCAGGCACTGTGCTAAGCACTGAAAGAAGCAAAAGACAAAAAGAGGCAAAAGACAGTCCTTGTCCTCAAGGAGTTTACAATCTGATAATTATGATCTACTCTTCTAGCTCTATAAGCTGCAGTATACTTGTTGGTATACATTAATAGAGGAAGTTCCTTATGCTGGTGAAATCAAAGGGTCAAATTTTTTTTAAAAAAGTATATTTTATTATCAGACTAATTAATTTGCTTTTCATTTTCTGTTGTTCTGTGAGAGGAGTACTGCTGAGGTGACCCAAATATAAAGTCCAGATCATGAAGACTCAGAATGGAAAGGAGCCTTGAAGGTCATCTAGATGTTTCAACCCCATTATTTTACGGATGAGGAAATGGGAGGTGAAATGTCAACATCGTGTAGAGAAAGTCACTTCCTATAGACCCTGATCTATGGACTTAGAATGAAAATTAACCAAGTCATGTAATCCTTCCAGGCTAGGGGCATGGCCTATATTTATGGCAAGGAGGCAAGATGCGTGAGATGGTGCAAAAGCCTGAAGTGGAAGAGCATTTGCATGTGTATACTCTAATGATAGTGTGGCAAGGAATTCCTGTCCCATCATATATCAACAAGTTGTGATTTATTTTTCCAGATAGAGGAAACCCTTTACATTTGGGGAGTCAAATTCTTAGGACAAGACACTGCCCTAAAGACCTACCTTACTTTACCTGTGTGTAGTTTCTTGGCTGTCCTCTTGTCATGATGGTTGTTTAGCTGAGAGGTCTCTCTTCCTATAGCCTGCAAATTGGGAGGATGTTTGAGAAGAGCAGGCATCTTTTTCCATACTCTGGGTTCTCCCCTGCTAATACCTATAGCAGTAAAGAGAATTCAGTTCAGGTTTTAATTTTAATACATTTTTCTTCTTTAAAAATTATTTTTCCTGGTCCTTTTGTTATTACACAGCACTAATTTCCAAATATATCCCTTCCCTGCCAATCAAGTCATCCCTTGTATCAAGATTAAAAAATAAAGGGGAAAAAAACCCATTTCCTCAAAGGCAACCAACACAGTAATCAGTCTGACACTATACAGAACATACCACACCTTTTGTGTCCAACTTCTGAAATGAAGGGAGGAGGGTATGTTCTCCCTTCTCCAGGGGCTAATCCAATCTAATCCAATCCAATCCAATCAACGTTTATTATGCACCTGTCAAGTGCCAGGCACTGTGCTAAGATCTGGGGATACAATTAATAGAAAGACAGTCACTGCCCTCAAGAAACTTACAATCTAAAAGGGGAGACAACACACAAAAGGAGGCAGGAAACTGGGGTGGGAGTTGGGTAGTGGGGGATAGGACACCAGGAAGCATCTTGTTCTGTGGAGTTGAAACCAGGCAGGGCAGCAGATATAAAATGGAGAGAGCTGAGTCCATTTTCTGCCCTCTCTAAAGGAAGGCATTGGGAAGAGTTTGATTGGTACTCCTCCCTTCAGCCCTCCAGAGGGTAGAAGAGACTGAGGGAGGTAGAGTCAATCCGGTGGTGAGTTTAAAAGTGATAAGCTTACCATTGGAGAGGCATCTTGTTCTGTGGAGCTGAAATTCAGTCAGGGCAGCAAATGCAAAGTGGCTGAGTTTGTTCATTATAATTACACAGCACACCGTTCTGTTTTCTTGTTCTTTCCATTTATATAGTTGTGGTCATTGTACTCCTGGTCTTATTTTGAGTTCTTCTTTAGTACGTACAAGTCTTCTTGTGCTTCTCTAAATCTTTCATATTTGTAGCTACTTAGAGCACAGTAATATTCTATTATATTCCTACACTAAAATCTTTTTAGCCATTCCCCAAATGATAAGCACTTTCTTTCCATCTCTTGGCTACTCCAAAAAAGTGCTTCTGTGATATGTACATACATACATAAATATATATGAATATTTTAGTTCTAGTATACATGAGACTTTTCTTTTAATTTTGGGGGGTACACGCCTGGTATTGGGATCTCTGGGTCAAAAGTGAATGGACCTTTAGTCAGTTTTTTAGCTTAATTACAAATTGCTTTCAGGAAGAGTTGGATAAACTTATTGTTCTACCAGAGGTATATTGATGCACCTGTCCTCCTGAAGACCCTCTAACATTGACTATTTCTATTTTTGTCATTGTTGCAGCTTACAAAGGTATGCAGTAACAACTCAGAGTCATTTGATTTACATTTCTCTTATATTTGGGGAAATTTTTCCTGTAGTTGCTAATAGTATTGGTTCTTCTGGAAGCCCTATGTTTATATCTGTTGACTAGTTATTCATTTGGAGAATGACCCTTAGCCATACTCATACACACACACACACACACACACACACACACACACACACACACACAACCTATGTAAATTGGATATCAGATTCTTGTTAGGGATAGCTAATGAAAAGATTTTCACCCTAATGGACAGTTTCCCTTCTAATCCTAGCTGCATTGATTTTGTTCATGCAAAAGCTTTTTAATTTCATGTAATAAAAATTATCTGTTTTATCTTTTATGATATTCTCTATCCATTCTCTGGTGAAGAATTTCCCTCTCAGCCAGAGTAAGGAAAGGCATGGCTTATACAATTTTCTTCTAAATTTTGACGCATTTTTTCATGGTTTCCATATAGTTTCTGGTTTATAACTAGACAGGATACCTTTTGACAGATTTGTAAAGCCAGGGCCAACCTTCCTTGGTTTCAGTAGGCATTTACTGAAAGTTTGTGAAACTATAAACATTTCCATGGATATGAAGCCAAATTTTCTAAAATAATTCAGGCCCTACTAACCCCAACACTACTGCTTCAGAAAGCACTATTCAGATCCACTGGCCAAGGATTTAAATCCTAAGCTCATGGGAACAAACTAGCATAGGACAATGAATGTAACTCATTTCTTATCCCTCTGTCTTTGAATTGCATGACAGGAAATTGTTTTCCTACATGTACTTACTCAGAAGAGAAGAAAATTAAATTCAAAAGAAAAACAGTAGAGCCGTGGGAAGATAGACATAGGAGAAAGGCATTCTTAATCCTGGTGACTTTGTTGTTAATGAAATAGAAAAATGCAGGTGTATGTAAGTGGAAGGAGGATTACAAGCCCATTTAGACACCGGTCACGAAGAGGCATACAAGCTCCTGGCTATCACTGGAGAGGAAGAAGAATGTGCCACCAAAGGAGATGGGAAACTAGAAAATCCTAGAGCATGATTTTAATAGGTTCCCCCACACAAGATTTAATTTCAGCTTGGACCACCCCAATTCTTATTAGCATGATCATGTTCTACTCTAATAGATGGCATTGATTATAAGGTATTATAAAGGAACCTGCTTTTTCCATTAAAAAAAATCACCAAAGACAAAAGCACTTACCATTTAATTCAATCTTAAACTTCTTATTAAGAAAAACCTAACTGTAGGCATAACTCACAGGACATTGCTTCTCAATAATGGCACTAATACATTATCTCCAAACTGTGTGTGGTACAGTGAAAAGAGCTCTGGATTTGGAGTCAAGGGACCTGGGTTCAAATTCTGATTTTGCCACTTACTGCCTTTGTAACTTTGGACAAATTACGTAACACCTAGTGGATCTAAATTTGCTCACCTGTAAAAAGAGGAGATTGGATTGGAAGACACAGTTTGGTGATAATGTATTAGTGGCGTTATTGAGAAGTGATGTTGGTTGCAGCAATGTCCCATGAATTATACCTATAATTAGTTTTTTTATAAGGGGCTTAAGACTGAGTTAAGTCTCTGTCAGCTTTAACTCTATGATCCTAATGTTATATTCAACTGACCACTAGAGACATAAGTCAGATAGCTACAGACAGAACTAAGCAATGTCAGTTGAATGTCAGGGTGCCCGTTACTCTCTTTATACCATTGTTCACATGGAACTAACCTCCTTGTTTCACCTTCAATCTTGTTTTTACAGAAGCAGTTAGTGGTATCCGATGGGTCTTTTGTAATTCCAACATGAAAGTTTTTATGAAAAATCAACACAAAAATAATCCTTACAGTAATATTTGGAGTACTATTTGACTGCCATTGCTTTTTCATATCAGAATTCCACTAAGTAAAGCAAAAAGAGATACCCCAGTGAGTCATCTCGATATTCCCAGGGAATATTTGTATACTAACTCCTCTTCCTCTTGACGTCCATAATATATATCAGCAGCTGGCCCTACAATGACCCCTAATATGGCTGCAAAAAGACTACTGCCCAGCGGAGAGGGGGAACACTGGCACATCCCAATGCATAGACACACACGTAGACAGACATCATTTATGTGGAGTCTCCTGTCATTACAAAGGGTATCGCTATCTCAGAGTTAATAGGGATACCACATTCCAGAAACGTAAGAACTTAACCAGTCCCCAGGGATTTGGGGGTAAAAAATTCATTCCCTTCTTGGGCTACAAAACACTAACAGCAAATGAAAAATGTTGCCTGTCCCTTCCAGCTCTAAATCTCTGATCCACTGATCGTATCTGAAGCTAAGTAAAAATTAGGCAGTTTTATTACAGCATATTGAAGCAGATTCCCCCATGACTAATTGACTCCCTGGGAGGGAGTCACTCAGTCTTGGAAGCTATAGTTAGTACCTCGACCAGAGGTATTACTAAAACCATTGCTTATGTGGATTAAATAGCAGTCAGGTCAGTGCAGAGGGACAGGAAAAGGACTTGGTTATTTACAACCTGTGTGACTCCAGGCAGGTCCCTTCACCTCTCTGTGCCTCAGTTTCCTCATTTAATGATCTCTAATGTCCCTTCTCTCTGTAAATCTTCTGACCCCCTGCCTTAATGGCCTAAAGGAGTTATCCCAAAGTGCCTGATTCACTTTAAGAAAATGATTTACTCACCACAATATAAGCTCAAAAGTTCAGTAGATTTCATGCTAGGATCCAATGATCCAAAAAAAAAAAATGCCTATGGATTCAATTATCTTTGCAGATGGCCACTTATCTCCTTTCTTAAACAACTTGCACACAGTTAAACAAGTAGTCAAGACTTAAAATATTATTTTGTTGCCCCTGAGGGGAATCCATGGGATTAGTAAACAAGACATTCCTAGACGAATACAATGCAAATGCTGTTTCAGTAGAATTGCTTTTTGCCCAAGGCAGCATGATGTAGTGGAAAGAGAGGCAGTTTTGGAGCCAAGAAGACCTGGGTTCAAATCCTATCTTAGACACATCCTGTCTGTGTGACCCTGGGAAGGTGCTTTGTCTCTGAGAGTCCTAGGTCAGTGCTGCTGAGCTCAAATAGAAATGGTGCCACTAAACCATACCCAAGGAACACTGCGGGTCTCATTTTCACTTGTTTAAAAAAATGTAATGTTATCTGTGTTTTATTGTGTTTTTATTTATTTTGTTAAATATTTCCCGATCATATTTTAATCTAATTTCAGTAGCACTCAGGAGTGTTGTGGGCACTCCTACTGTAGAGAGTTCTCCATGACTGTGAGTAGCAGAGAAGGTGCCCATGCACATTGGCAGAAGAAATGTCTTTGCCAGAGAGTTCCCTACACCAATAAAATCACAGGCCAAGTCCCTACACCCCACTATTTACCATTCAATCCAGGAATCTTTCTGTGGAAAGCAAACTATTGAAGCAAAAAGGGCATTGGACCAGAAATCAGAAGACCCGAGCGCCCCTACTCATCTTGTCACTTATTAGGAGATCTCAAGCAAGTCACTTAATATCTCGGAGCCTCAGTTTCCTGATCTGATCTAAAATGGGGATACAAATTCCAATTGCCCCTCACTTCACAGGGTTGGTGTGCTTTTCAAATGAAATCATAGAGTCCTAAAATTGGAAGGAAATTTGCAGGGCACCTACTCTAAATCTACCTGATGACATATGAATCTCCTCTACATAGCATCTCTGAAAAATGTTCCTCTAACTTCCACTTCAACATGTCCAGTGACAGAAAATTCTGTATACAGATCAAAGTGTTTCATAAATGAATCATTTAAAAAACTCAGACATAGCAAGATTGATTCCATCTTTAGTCCATCCTACTGTGCTGTCATTTTTATCTTTTAATAAAAAGAGGGGGTTATTTCTTTTCTTTGATTACAATGAAGACCCTATTAGGTAGACTTACAGGAGGACCTGGAAAACAGTTGAATGGGATGAGAAGGCCTAAATGTGCTGCAATCTGCACTGTTGGAGGATAATGATAGGTAATATTTATGTAGCACCTACTATGTGCCAGGCACTGTACTATGTGCTTTGCAAATATTATTAGATCTTCACAATAACTCTGTGAGATAAGTGCTATTACTATCCCCATTTTACAGATGAGGAAACTGAAGCAAATAGCGGTTAAGTCACCTTATCCAAGGTCACACAACTAGTAAGTATGTGGGGTTGGATTTGAACTCAGGTCTTCCTCACTCCAGGCTTGGCCCTCTCTCCACTATGCCACTTAGCTGGCTGAAATCAGTGAGGTCATGGATCTGTTAAAGTCCCAAAGATGGAACTAAAAAGAAGAACTTTCAGGATAAAACCTCACTTTTGTGCCTAGGGCACTCATGGAATTGCAGGATTTCAGAGTTAGAAGGATTTTCACAACGGCCATCCAACCTGACATGGACCTGAAAAGAATGTCCACTATAGAACACCCAGCAAGTGGTCACCCAGGCACCTAAAAACCTCTAAGGAGGAGCAGCTTATATCCTCCTCAGCCAGTCCTTTCTACTTTTGGACAGTTCTAATAATGATTTGGGAGTTTTCCCTGACACCAAGCCTACATTCTGCCTTTGGGGACCAAACAGCCCTCCAAATACTTGAAGATACTTTACATATAATTACAAATTATATACATATTACAAGCAATTATATAATTTTATTTTGATTTGGTTATTTCAGTTGTGTCTGACTCTTCATGACCTCATTTGGAGTTTTCTTTGGCAAAGATATTGCAATGGTTTGCCATTTCCTTCTCCAGCTCATTTTACAGCAGAGAAAACTGAGGCAAACAGAGTTAATTAACTTGCCCAGGGTCACACAGTTAGTGTCTGAGGTCATATTTGAACTCAGGTCTTCCTGATTCCAGGCTGGGAACTCTATTCATTGTACCATCTAGCTGCCCATATACATATTACGAATAAAATGTGTTATTACATATGTCATATATGAAAGTAGTTGGAGCAGTAAATAGAGTACTGGACCTGGAGTCAGGAAGACCTGAGTTCAATTACTAGCTGTGTGACCCTGGGCAAGTCATTTAACCCCTGTGTGCCTCAGTTTCCCCAAATGAGGATAAATCACCTACTGCCAGGTGTCACCTCCAGGTGTTATTAGGATCAAATGAGATAACATTTGTAAAACACTTTGCAAACCTTAATGCTCTACATAAATGGTAGCTATTATTATTATTACTATCATGTGTCTCCCTCCTCCACCCCAAATCTTACTTTCTAAATATCCCCAAGTCTTTTATCTAATTCATATCCATCAAGAATTTAAGGTCTTTTACTGTTCTGGTTGTCCTCCTCTCAACCCTATCCCGCTGATCAATAGGAGCTATGATATTTGCACATGTTATAATGCCATAAGTGTACATAACCTTCTGCTTTTGGGGTAGATCCGATATCAAGTATCCATGGAAAACACAGACAAGAATCATAGAGGATGAAAAGGCAGAGAGGGCTTGTGGTCTGTCTGGGTGTATCCACTCTACATGAGAGTGAGTCCTGAGCCAGAGCTGACCTGGCTAAGGAGTGAAAGGATTGAAGCATTGGAAAGAATGTCAGAGGTCACTTTTTGATGCATTAAGGAATCCCTTCTATAATATCCCTGATAAAAGGTCATCCAGTCTTTGCTTAAAATCTCCTTGTTTTTAAGACTTTGCCAACGTGCCTTAGCTGCTATCTCCCTCTACTAGTGAAGCCCCCTTCTCTATTGATGAGTTCCTCCTAGAAACTCTATTTTGAGGAAGGATCCAAACCAGCCAGGCTTCACTCTCTGGACTTTGCCACCATTCTCCTAGAGGACGACCTTCCCAGACTCCCTCTTGTTTTTCACCTCCCTTTTATGGGTTGCATTCCCATGTTAGAATGTATATTCCTTAACACCTGGACTGTCTTTCTTTTTTTATTGTATTTGTATTCTTAGCATTTCTGACAGTGCCTAGCACATAGTAAGCAATTAATAAATGTTTGTCTTCTTGGACAAAGTTCCTACACCAATGAAATAATGGAACAGGCCAAGTATCAATGACTGACAGCACAAATGGGAATAGATAAAAGTCACATAACTCTCATTCCCCTAAAAGACCGAAAAGAAGTTTCAGTTTCAACTTGACCACTCATCATTTCACAGATATTTATCTATGTCTTGGTTCTACAAGAATTATGGAGAGAATTGATTCTGACAAAATATGGGGTATTCTGCACAGTATGGAGCAGATAAGGATATCAACGCAAATTTATGTGTACATTTCTTCTTAAGCACAACTTGTAACAAATATCCTGGGGGGGGGGGAAGGAAGGTATCTAGGGATTCAATTAGCTTTGCAGATGATCACTGGTCTGCTTCCTAAAACCAATTTTTAACATTGCTAAACCTAGGCTTTAAATTTAATTTTTAAAAATTACTTCTGAGAGGATGACAAGCCTTGGGAAATGTTTGGTACTCACAGCTGGCATTGTGATTCCTCTGGATTTGCAAAACATGTCCAAAGCCATTCCTTTAAGCACTCCAGGACAGAGGAGGGCAGCTTTCAAATGATTCTTGTTTAGTAATGAGTCTTCAGACCCTTGTACCTTGCTAAAAAATGGTTCATTGAAATGCTATTCGACTTGGCTATTGAGAGTACTTATGAGAGAAATTCACTGAATGCTCAAAGCACTTTCTCAGCAGAAGTGTTTTTCCCCAAGAATACAGAATTTTTAGATGAGAAGCTGGAATAGGGAGGAATCCATTAATGTTCAACAGAAACCAGGTCTGAGGTTAGTAAAGAATGTTGGGTGCTTTTCAGAACATCAATTGTGGCAACAGAAGAATCTCAAATAGTTCCTTCACAAAACATTACACCACCCAAGACCTGGGAAGCTTGGGAATTCAAAATCGTTACCAGGGAGGGAGACAAAATTATTTATTCCAACAAAGAGCCATGTGTCACACACTGACCTGTGAGATTTTTTTTCCCCAATCTGATATTTCAATAATAAAAGGGTCTAATTTGTCATTTCTAACTTTTTTTTTCAATCCGCAACTAATCCAGGGATGGGAACACTAGACATTTAGCACACATTAACTGTTTCGGTGGCTGCAATGTGGTAAAGCAGAATGACTTAGGAGAACCAAGTTTGAATCTGGTTCTATTATTTAATAACTGTGTGATCCTAGGCAAGTTTTCTCTCTCTGCAATATGGGCATAAAAATGCTTTCATTAACTATCATAGAAACAGCAAAGAGGTATGGTACACAGAAAGCTACCTAGTGGATCCAGGAAAACCCAAGTTCAAATTTTACTTCAGACACTTACTGTGTGACCCTGGGCAAGTCATTTTGCCTCTGTCTGCTTCAGTTTCCTTATCTCTAAAATTGGGATAATAGCATCTACCTACCTACCTACCAGGGTTATTGTAAAAATCAAGTGAGGTTATTTGTAAAGTGCAAAGCACAGTGCCTGCCGCATAATAGGTGCTTAATAAATGCTTGTTTCCTACCTCAAGGACTTTTTGTGAGGAACAGTTTTTGCAAGACTTATAAAGAGGTGCATAGTGTTTTTGCATAATAAGTATATGGAGCTACTAGTCTTCTGCACCCAAACAACTACACACAGGTAGAAGTGCCAGAATGAACCTTAGAGATCTAGCCCAATCCTTTCATTTTAGAGATGAGGAAACTGAGTTCTGGAAGTGAGGTGTCCTGTCTCATAGGTAGGGATCTTTCGACTCCAGATCCAGAGCTTTCCTCAACCCCATGCTGCCACACCACCCTTTCTTCCTCTTCCACATACCCCCTCCTGCTCTACATCAAAATAGATGGCCTAACTCCCCAGCTCAAATACAGGTGGCTAATATTGTTGAGGAAGGTTGCACATTGTGAGGTTCAATTTACAGCTTAGACTGAGATGAGGTAACAGCCACTGCAATCCTACTTCAGTCCTCGTCTTCTATAATAGCCTTTTTTTCTTTCACTTATGTCTCACAACCCTGGACTCTCAATAGTTATGTTTCCTCCCTTCCTTTACTACTCCTCCCCCCTGACCAAACCACCTGCCCCTTCTCCCAGGTGTGGGAGAACTAAGCGCACCTTGACAGAGCACCACTGAGCACGCAAACTGCCAGCATCATTTTCTTACCTAAGCCTTTGACCTGTCTCTCTCTCGCCTCGGTTTTACCTCCTGGTCACTCGAGATCCTTCTACTCTCCTGCTTTTCTGCTTCCAGCCCCCATCACTCAGATTCCCAGGTGTCTCTCCTGACCTCGCTAGCTCTCTTCTCTCTTTCTCACACCCCACAGCTTCCTTACTACCCACGTGCAGGGCATGCCCTCCTGCAGGACAGAGCAGCATGGGCGTCTGCTGTTCTGTCTAGTTTTAGCACCTACCAAAGCTTAGTAGGCATAAACATGCCCTTCCTCTGCAAGGAAGGTGCCCTGGTGCAGGGTGAGTGATTGGCAAGACCTGTCTTGCTGGGACAAGAAAAGTGGCCACAAGTTTCGGTCTTGTCTGAAAGCTTTTCCTCTCTGTGTGGCCTCCTGACTTGTCAAAGGTAGCAGAGAAGGCAGAAGAGGGGTAGGGAACCTCACTGGGAAGTGTTATGGAGATGGGAGGTGGCGTCTAGGCAGCCAGGTTAGAGAAAGAAGAAAGGAGGCAAAAAAGGGAGAGCACAAAAGGGCCTCACTCTGCTCAAGAGTTTGGCTTATGAAAAGGCATTAAGAGAATGTGAAAAGAAACCAAACTGAGCAGTTTTCTCTGACAAGGAGAATGGCCTCTGCACTGGAAATGCAAAAATGGCTAATAGGGAATAGAAACCCAGGATAGGTAAAGCAATAATAAGAAAGTACCAATTTATCCAGCATATAATTTATTTGTACGTAATTGTTCGCGTGTTGTCTCCTGCATTGCACTGTGAACACCTTGAGAGCAGGGGCTCTCTGATGGAATTCTGATGGAATCAGAAATGATGGGTAGAAGTTATGAAGTGGTCAGTTTTTAGTCTCCTGTTCTCCAGGTCTCCTCCATTCAATACAATTTTCTCCCCTAAATTCTTCCAAATCCTCTCCTGCAGTCACAGAATCTCAGAGAAGGGGGGGAATCTCAGTACAATGACCCAACCTGACCAAGAGTCTGTACTACAATATTCCTGAAAAGGGGTGAACTTGCCTCTGTGGAGACATTTCCAGTGAGGGGAACACACCACCCTTCTTCCCTCTAAGGCAGCCATTCTACTTTCGGGTAGGTTTGTTTGGGAAAATTTTCATATACCAAACCTCTTTGCATCTTCTACCCCCTTTTCCTAGTCTGTCCATTCTGGCCACCCAATTCCTCATTTGTAGAACCTCCCTAAAGTATTATTCCTTCCTATCGTATTTGCAATTTAACTGGGTTTAATGTCATAAACCAAAGGGAGGAAGCTGAAAGGATGATATTGGTGGTAGTGTTTAGGAAACATATCCAGGGGTGGGAAACCTGTGGCTTTGAGGCCACATGTGGCCTCAAGTGCTGGGGTTTGTTCTGTGAAGTTTGGGTTTAGTCAAAGGGCCACACTTGAGGACCTAGAGGGCCACATATGTTCTTGAGGCTGCAGTTTCCCCACCCCTGAAGGACTTTGAAGAGAATAAGTGATTGCAGAATTGCCAAATGTGAGATTTGGAAGGGACCTCTGTGGCTAAATCATCTGACTCATACACTAAAATCAGTCTCAATAATAGTATACCTGACAAGTAGTTGTCTACTTTCTCCCTGAAGAGCTGCAGGGAAGGGGTCCAATGTTGGGAACCTATCACTTCTTGAGGTAGTCCATTCCATTTTGGTACAAGTCTTATTGTTAGGAAGATTTTTCTGATATTGAGTCTAAAAACTGACCACTTCATAACTTCTACCCATCATTTCTGATTCCATCAGAATTCCATCAGAGAGCCCCTGCTCTCAAGGTGTTCACAGTGCAATGCAGGAGACAACACGCGAACAATTACGTACAAATAAATTATATGCTGGATAAATTGGTACTTTCTTATTATTGCTTTACCTATCCTGGGTTTCTATTCCCTATTAGCCATTTTTGCATTTCCAGTGCAGAGGCCATTCTCCTTGTCAGAGAAAACTGAAAAAAAAATGAGTTGGGCAGCTCTGTTTTTTATCCCATCTATTCCAAACAGAGGTCCTATCCCTTCTTTGATCTTTCCTTTTCTCCCAATATAGTTTTTAACAAATCATCCTTTTATTCTGTCCTTCATTTTGAGCTTTAGCTCAGTCTACTGACACTACCATGCTTTTATATTTATCCTCTGTCACCTGCCCTTGCTTCTATTTTCTGCATATTACTTTTTAAAATCTGATTTGGTGGGTGAGGTGTCTGTGTATCCACATAGGTCTCTTGACACATCTGCTATTTTTCCTCTTCATTGAAATTGTTACCCTTTGTGTCTAAAATATTTCATGCCTGAGCATCTCCCATCCCTTCTAAGCTGACTTACCACCCTGATTGAATTTTAGTTCCAGAGCTCCTACCTATTCTTCCTTTGAACCTTTTAAAAACAGCTTTCTCAGAATCCAGGGTATATTTCAGATTATATATAGGTTTTCCTTCCTTCTCTATCACAAACTATAGGACATAATGAACTCTTCCTTTCATGGATCCCATAATTTCCCATTTATATCCTCCCTGTTAAAATCAGATCTAGAATAGAATTTCCCTTTGTTGGTTCCTCCACTTTTTGTAGGATGAAATTATCATGAAAGTCATGAAGTTATGAGTTGCTCTACTTTTGGCAGAGACAGAGAGAGCTCCAGCAGATCTGAGTTTTTAAAGTTCCCCATCACTACTATCTGTACCAGGCTTACAAGTTGTTACCCTAACTGATCGTCTATTTTTTCTTTCTGTCTTTAGTCTGTGTTATATTCCAATGACAAAGAGTACTTCTGTTTCTCCTTCCATTGACCTTCACCCAAATGCTCTCTACCATCCTAGGCAGCTAGGTGGTATAATAAATAGTGTGACTGACACATAACCAAGAAAACTCGAGTTCAAACCATGCCTTGGACACTTTCTGTATGATTTGGGCAAGTCACTTCATGTCTCTAAGCCTGTTTCCTCATCTGTAAAATTGTAATAATAGTAGCACCTACTTCACAGGGTTATTAAAAGAATCAAATGAGATAGTATATGTAATGTGCCTTATAAATCTTAAAATCATATATAAGTACTAAACATTATTATGCTTTTCTACTCTGGATTTGAGATTTCCTCACGTGAATATAACTTCTTTATATATAATGCTACTTACCTTCTTTCATCTGTCCTGGGTTTTTATTTTTTTTTGATGGACATACTCATCAAGGACCATGGTCCAGTGTTGGTTTTTATCCCACCAAGTCTCAGTGATATCAGTAAGGTCAAATGTGCCTCCTTCTTCCTAGCCTCCTGAAATAAGATTACATAGGATGTCAGTAGATTAAGTGCTTACGTAGTGCCTGGTGCATAAGTATAAGTAAATACTTTTTGACTAACTAACTAAGCTGAATGTTCAAGATGTGCTGGACTTGGGCAAC